AGTCAGAGAAAACTGATTCCAGATCAGCAGGAACATAGTAGCTGAGAAGGCATTACAGCATATATGCATACATAATGTATATTGAAAACCTGAAAATACTGGAGTCCTGGATTTGCTTGAAAATGAGAGCAAACATTTTATAGATATATCAGTTAAATGTATAAAGAACCTCTAAAGCAGACAGGAATAGGAAATAAAAGGAGAGATTTTCAAGTTTTAATGTGAATCCATCTCTAGTAACAGCTAGTTAAGGTGGACTTGCACAGCAACAAGATGGAACACAATGTAAATACTTTTAAGGGAAAATTTGGAGTAATTAATTTTTTTATTAGTAACAGAAATTAAAGTTACTGTGCTGTGATGCTAGGAAACTATACACTAGCATCTTACTTGATCAAGCATGTGCACACCGTGGAAGAACCACTGGAGAGCAACAAAGATAGGGAACAGAAGGTCTATTAAAAGAAAAATGACAACATGGCCCTGGAGAAACTGAACGTGAGCTTGACATTCTCTGCTTCCCATCACAGTTTTGCCTGCAGTGCAAATAAGCAGATTTTAAGCAGATAGATGCTTAAATTCTTGACAACTTGCCTTTTAGCACTCTGATGACAGAAGTTTGCTGCTTCTTGCAGATGGTGAAGTTGGCATCTTTGAAATAATTTAACTTACAATCATGAAAATTTAATAAATAATAAAATTTTATATAAATACATTTAATAAATTAAAATAACTTTTAGAATTTAATATTTTACTAAAATAATTCTACCTACTGGGTCTCATAAACCGAGTCCACAAATATAAAACACACAACTGTTATCTGTCCCATCAGAAGGTGAGTGAAGCTATATAAACTACAATTACATCATTCACCCTCCTCACGCTACCCAGAGATGCCTGTTTTGAAGACCTATCCTAAAGTGGGGTCAGTAATAACTAAATAAAGAGGTGTTCTGTTGCTTCCCAACAGTATGACTATTTATATGGTGTTTCTGTCCATCATATATATTTTACATTTATTCTCTATAGGGTCAAAATGTGATCCAATATATGGTTCCCTGGTTGAAGTACCTTAATGATAGTTTAAGGAAATGTTAAAGACAATACTGAAACATGCTCATATGTCTGTAGTGTAAGAGTCTGTTCTGCTACAGTGTTTGGATTAAAATTTAGATAAGCATTAGTAAAGATAGTATTACAGTTGGTAGAATATTTGCTGCACAAAAAGAGCACTTTGAATAAGTATGCAAGAAACTATACTGAATTATATTGGAAACAAATTTCAAGGGACTATCGCTGTAGCAGAGCCACAGGAATGAAAGTCCATCTGTATTCCTGCTTGGCCAGTTTTGGACAACTTGAACAAGTGTATGTTTATATTTATAGATGAAATATTCTGTTCAACAGCAGTGGTTCATGGTAGCACATAGAATCCAATAATGATATACATTATTGCATTCATTTTACCACTTTATTGCATGCTGCTTTAAATTTTGTTTCTGTTTACTAAAGATATACAAAATCACAAGATGTTAGGAAACCATTTTGAACTTAGTAAAAGAGGCTGTACAGATGATAAAGCAAATTATCATTGAAAGGTAGCAATTTTTTTTTTAAAAAAAAGGTAAAACATTCTAAAAGTTCCACAACTTATAATAGCAGGCATAATGGTAAACCACCAGAGCATTCTGGATCCAAGTCCTAAGGCAGCAATAAGCGCTTACCACAAGCTGTCCCTAAATTGTTGAATGGAGTCATGTGGATGCTCTATGATGGCAAGCATGAACATCTGGACTACAACCTAGGTTTATTAATTTTTTCCTGGATTTTTCTAGACTGAATATACCATAAATTTTCCCTGATATTCACTATTCCTCTCTGTCCTCTCCAATTCATGCAGCAAGCAGCCAACTATCACTTCTACACCACCTCTGCCATTTTCTGGGGCCTGGCTCTCCCACTCCGCTCATGGAGACAGCAAGATTTGCTGACTTCTTTATTTGACAGGCTCAATTTACACTATTTATTCTTAAAAAATAAAAATATCTTTGACTCAAGACAGCAGTGTTTCTGAATGTATCAGAACATCATGGCTTTGAAGCGTTCTTCCATAGTAAGAGAAGTAATAAATATAACTTGAACTACTATAGAGGTGCACTTTTTGGCAACACAACTAAACTGAGCAATTTTCTAACATTTAACACTGTTACGGTTGGTTGGGGGGGGGGTTGGGGAGGGGAAGACAGAAATTGCTCCTCTGTCTCAAATCTAATTCTATGACATCCTGAAACAACTGTGCCTATTTCTTTCCTAGGATACTTGCTTCCCAGTGAAAATTTCTACCCCAACCTGTTTGACAGGTATAGGCATTTACACTTGAATGGGGTAAAAGTACAGAAGGGATTCAAAAGTCAGGAAACGGAAATCAAGGACATTTTCATGAAATGAATGGGAAGGGAAGGAAGGAACAGGAAACCAAAAGGAAACACCAAGTAAACCAAAATCCAGCCCTTCCAGTTTTCCTGAACAGTGATAAAAGCAATGAGATAACAGTGGGGTTTCTGAGAAGCAATCTGGCATTTTAAAGTAATCCCCTCCCTGTTCTCCACAGGAAAATGGTCTTCCTTGCAACAGCAGATAATAGGATACATCTTTTTTGGGCTGAAAATCTTCCAGGTTTTTCCAGAACCACAGTCTGCTTCATTTCTATGTAGAAGTCATCATGGTAACTGAACCCAAACTAGTTTCTTTTACAGTGCCTCAAGGAAAAGAAACGAAGGCAGCACTAACCACTGTATTATCCCTGATATAACGCCAGTCACATTCCCTTCACTGGTGTTCAGTTCTCCCACCACCCATAACACTCACCATAATCTCCAAACCATGTGATAATGCAATCTGATCCAAAGAAGCAGTCTGGCCTCGGGCAGCCCTCCTTTGCTCTTCTCTGAACTCTTTCCATTCTTCCTCTTCTGCCCATGCTCAGTTCAGGAAGCGGAGCACACTGCCAGCCTCACTGACCAGTAGAGAAGGAGGTTTGGGAAGGCTGTACATGGCACCAGGCAAACATTAATTGTTATGCACAGCCTGGCTGGAAAGAGGAAGAGAAAATCAGCACTCAAGGAAATTAACTCAGCCTGTCTGGCTATGTAAGTGCCTGTTGCCCAGGGTATGCTCCTCTACATGAATCACTTACGTTCTGTCCTTTTTTGCTGCTAGCACTGATTAAAATTCCTTTCCAACTCTTCTTCATCCTTCTTTTGAATCAAAGTCATCTCATAATAACCTCAGCAAATGCTACCACCACACTGCAGCAATTTTTTTTTCAGACAAAGCTATTTGCCCATTTTATTCCAAGTAGTTTCACAGTAATGGAAACGCCATTCAGAGATGAATAACTTAATCCTTCCTCTTAACAGTCTTCTCTATCTCTTCCATTTGATTTGGTGTCACTGCCAGCAAAGTATATATTTAACAGATATTTTTGGGGGTAAAAACCTTATTTTCTAAATTATTTGTACAGTAGTTAGGCAAAATTATGCTTTTTTAACTGCTTTCATTTCAAGGATAGTGCTATGGACAAGAAGATAATTTAAGTCATTACAGCCTGTCAACCAAGATATGTCTATTTTGACTTTTCAGGTAATTACACTTTTTTAATATTTATAGTGTAAAGTATATAGAGAAACAAATGGATGGGATTAACAGCAGAGAGGAATTGCTGATTTTCTAAGCTCTAAAGCAATGAATATAGAGGACAAGAATGACATAGTATATTTGAAGAAAGGCTATCCAATATAATTGTTTGAAATATAAGTATATTGCCATTTACTGGACATTCTCATCTAATTCACATTAAACTTTTATAAAAAGGTATTATTATTTCGGAATTTAGTCTTCCTGATAAAGGACAGACTGGTATGATACCTACATCAGTCACATACGTGTCTGTCTTGTGCACACTGTAGAATTTAGAAATCTAATTCAAGGAAAGATCTGCTGCATTTGGTGTCAGCTCTGTTCAACACAAGTAGGCACACAACCATCAGCAGCCTGTTCCAGAAACTCCGAGGGGGATAGTTGGCTTTGTCTTACCTCCCCATGCAAATGTAACAAGAAATAACTACCAGTATATGCCAGGTATTTCTCTTGATGCCAGAAATACTCATATATGTATGTTATCTTAAAAGGAATGTTAAGGCGTCTTTGTGGATCATTTCATTCTTGTGATTTCCCTGTCATAAGGGCATCACAGTTATCAGGTGATACCAAGGTAATTAATTCCACAAATTAACACTGCTCTGTCTGTTGCCTTATTCCTCAGTCAGGCCAGCTAATTCATATCTCCTGTATTTTTTTTCCTTCTGGAAGCAGCAGAAACTGCTACTTTTGAACATGGGACTGTCTGGAATGATAATCTCACTCAATGCAATGGCCACATCTCAAGACACTCCTGCTGTTCATAGCCTTTCTTTTCTGTTGCAGGTACTTCTAGCCTCATTTCTATGGATTAAGGGTAGTGACCAAGATCCCAAAAAATACCAAGGTTTAGTTTGATTTGCATTTATTGCCTCAATCTATACCTGCAATTCCTTGCTCACCCAGACATTTTTTGTTTTGTTTGTTTTATTATGGAGCCATTTTTTGTTTTCAATTTCTATTTGAACAAATGTCACAGATGATAAATCACTCTCCACTGTCCCCATCCTGTAATTTAGCAGAGTTAAGAGGGGATCACAGGCTGAACCTACATACTCCTTTAGTAGGCAGTCAAATATTTTGATGTCCTTTTCGTCCAAATTATTATGTATACATTCATAGACTTTACATGCTACACCACTACTAAACTGCAACTTCACAGATTCTTGACTAGTGCATTCTCTAATACTACTACAGCTCTTTCCTATGAGTGGCCCAATTTATTTGAAAACAAAAATTTTCAACCTCAGCATTACCAGATTTAACAGTCACAAGTCCATTTTCACATAAACACAATTTTTGATTTTTCTTAACTTTTTAAAAAAACTTCTGTCACATGTTTCTTTTTATCATGGAGAAGCAGGTTCCATTAACAGTACAGGTAGCACTGCCAGAGTACATGAAGTTCTCAGAAACTAGTGACACAGAAGACTAATACCGAACAATCTTGGTGTTTGTTGTAATATATTGCTTATAGACATGATAGAAAACAAAACACTACTCAAACTGCGTCCTGATTATTTTCCAGAGAGCTCCAACTCTGAATGGGTCTCTTCTTGCTCAGATTCTTCTTCTCAGATTATTTTTTTTGTTTGTTTTCTCCCTTTATGGATTATTGTATGAACCAATCATCACTTAGCCACAGATTGGCAGAGGGAGTCAATTTCATTCAGTTTCTGCATTTTAACCTCTCAGCTTTTCACCATCAGGGCCTCAGTGCTTCAAAAGTCTATCGAGTTGGCTGACAGCAGGATGGCTATGATGTAACTCTGTCACCTCAAGCTGATTCACTAGCACCTGTCCCCTGATACCACAGGCATTAATGCACTGCTGCAACCAATAGAAGAAGAGAATTAGCACTACTTCTGATGACTTTTGGATCAATTTAATCAGACTAACCATATGGATCATTTCAGCGCTCTTCTCAAACCTGTAATAATTATACTCCTTTTCAATCAGTCATTGCCAGCCAGCTGCACTGAACTAGAGTTCTGTGACTGGCTCCTAATTAATTCTCTTTAAAATAATTGTAATTTCTGAGTAAATAACAATCAGGGTCAGACAGATGAAAAGGATTTTCCTCTCCACTCCCAATTACCAGCATTAAAAAAAAACATACTGGATGTATCCTTGGCATATCTTGCTCAGAACAAAAAGTTGGAACACGTTACCATCTATAACAAACGCCACTTGTTTATACAGAGCAAAGCTTTCTCAACCCAGAACTCTGTCTCTTTCTTGAAGGAAAGCTACCTCCAGCACATCAATTAGCACAGGATAATTTGAGTTCAGCCAAGTTAACATAAGATTTTCTTACAAAGAGGAGAGCCAGACTGAACCTTTGCTTGTTAACATGCAAAGGTTGCAGGCAGATATGGAGAGATCCTTGGTTTACATCTTGCAGCATTTTCATTGTTAAATGAAATTATTTCACTTAAAAAAACCAAACAAAACAAACCCAAAACAAAACAAACAAAACCCAAAAACAACAACAAAAAAACCCCACACTCCACACAAAGCCCAGGAATCTAAACTCCACACCAGCCTCTCAAGTAGTAGCCTATCCCTGCCAGTAGTTGCTTTAAGTTGTTTTAAGTTTTATGTTAGAGTTAGCTCACAGGCCCTTCCTGCTGGCTCCCAAGCACCCTCATGGGTGGCACAGAGGGGCTGGATGGGATGGCTTGGCAGCACACTGGCTCCAGTGGCGCCCACACCCATAATACAACCTGTGTGCTAATTAAGGCAGAGCAGGGATTTGGGTTCTGTTCCCCTCACCGCATCAGTTAAGTACATAACAAAACAGGGTTTCACAGAACCATAGGGAGGTTTGGGTTGGACCCAAAGGGACCTTAGTGATAGATCATCTACTTCCAATGCCCCTGCCATGGGCAGGGACACCCTTTACTAGACCAGGTTGCTTAGAGCCCCATCCAAACTGGCCCTGAACACCTCCAGGGATGGGACATTTACAGCTTATCTGAGCAACCAGTTTCAGTGCCTCACCACCCTCACAGCAGAGAGCTTCCTCCTAATAATCTATTCTAGACGTCCTGTCATTTAATGCGAGCAGTTTAAATAATCATAACTATATACCAGTATATATTTTTATCTATCTGCGTGCATGCTTTGACGCAGAAGCCGCCCAGCAGCACCGCACGACCAGCGGGGCTGTCACGCCGGCGGGCCCGCAGGACGGCGGGGGCGGCCGCGCTGAGGCGCCGTTCCTGAGGGCACATCGCCACCTATCAGCGGCCCCGCGCAGCCGGCAGCGCCCAGCAGAGCCGCCGGAGCCGGGTTAAACCAGCCCTTCGGGCACACCGAGCCGGCCCTGCTGCTGGAACCCTGACGGGCAGGGCAGCAGCGGCCCTGCGCCCGCCCCGCCGGCCCAGCCCCGTGCCCGGCCCGGGCAGTCCCCGCAGAGGGCAGGTACTGGCGGGCCCTGGCAGCGCCCTTGTCCCTCGGGTGTTTGCCCAGCACTTGGCCGCACCCAGCTCCTCGCTGCCCCTCCCCCCGCCTCGGGGACTGATGTGTCCCCGGGTGAGTCTGTTCCTGCATGTCAGTGCCCTGGACCATCTCACGTGGGTGAGATGGTGCCATCAGCCTCGTTTTTTTACCAAAACCCAGTGAACAGGCCCGCTGTAAGGTAATTTGTGGGCAGCCACTCTCCTGGAAAAATCTCAGTAATTCAAAACTCTTTGGATTACTTTCTTGGTTTCTTCACTGTGCGGCTCGGAGTGCCAGACCCTGCATGGGTCTGGTGGTGGCCGCCTCTCCCAACACCCTGCAGTAATTCCCTGCCGCAATAAGGAAGTCTCAGGATGTGGCTGTGGACCCACACCTGTCTCGCTCCCATCTGCAGGGTGGAAGGGAAGGAGTTTTGGTGTTTGCATCCTGAGTGTCTCCAATAGATAGACACACCTGGGTTGGTGTAAAACCACACACTTGTTGAGAAGGTGGGCTGAAAGAATGAGTGGGAGCTCAGCAGGTAGAGAAGAGAATAATTTCAAATATTATTTCAAGATAAAATAATTATTAAACTCTTTTAACCATCCTTTGTGGTCATTTTTGCACGTGAGGACACAAGCAAGACAGAGACACATTCAAGCATATTTTTTAAATGTCTTTGAGGTGGGATTAGGGATATTTTCTTCATGCATTTCCTAGGCAAAAAGTATGGAGCTTTGCTTTCCAAATTGCATCTTTTATATCTTGCAAGGTTTAGGGGTTTTCCCCACATTTCATACTACCATGTTTTAAGAAGGGAGGACTTTTACGGGCATCAGTACCAAATTCGATACTGCCCAAGGTAACTTGAGTTTAACTTTATACTGTTAAAAAGTGCTGCAAGTTTTCAGTACCAAACAACTATTTTCATCAGTAATAGTGTGCATTTCCATTATAACAGAATATTAGATAAAGGAACAGGATGTATTATGTGGAACCAACTGTATTTCCTCATAAACCAGACTGAAGTTGTTTAAAGTTTTTCAATGAGGACATCAGCTCAGTTATTTACACCTCCAATGCATGACAGGAAAAAAAAAAAAAAAAAGAAAAAAAGAAAAAAAGGAAGGAAAAAACCAAAAGCAGTTATTTTAATCAATTACTTCCTCTGTTCTCTACCTAGCAAGTCACCTACAGGTCCTAGAATAAAGAAATGAGAATACATTCACCGGACGGCTAACATCTCACATCTGACTGCTGAGACTGAAGTGAACAAACTCTTTTGTGAACCTGAGCAAACCTGAAGTCAAAAGCACCTCTCACTGATTTAGTGTGCAGTACTGTACACTGATACTAGCTATTGTTTGGTCTATAAACCACCTTCAATAACACACAAGCAAGTTCTCTGTTACAGAACCCTTACACAACTGAGCATTTTGTTGAGCAACACAATGAGCTTAGGATTGTCAAGCTGCATTGCAAATATTTATTTCAGTGTCTCCTCCAAAATGCATTTTAAAAAGAACCTCTCTTTGAAATAGCTCAGTGGCTCTATTGATCTTTCTCCAATACATTTTTAGAAAGTGTGGCACTCAGCTAAGAATAAAATACCTTCAAATTACAGCTGTGGCTCTGCCCCAAAACTGTGCATACAGAAAGTCATCTCTTCCAACTGTAGAGAAAGTTATTTCATACCAGACATGGATCTATTGCAGGCAACATTTGGGGGTTTTTCTTTATCATGCTCTCTCACATTTCAGTACCACTATACATTCCTTTAAAAATATGCCCCAGAAAGGGAGAGTCAAATATATGAATAAGGTTGAAATAATTGTATGTCTGTATACAGAAGAATATACAAATGGATGGATATATGCAGCTATTCCAAGACAGCATTAGAAGTAACAGGAAGAAGGAACAGTAATTGTTTCTTTCTCAGATAAACAGAACACTCATAACCTTTTATTCTTAACCTCTTTCTGTGAGGGTCAGTAAATGCACTGCATATTTCTAGAGGACGAAAACTTTCATAGTTATAGGAAGTTGCTTCTCTACAACTGTCCTGGTAATTGCACAGTGCTTCATTGCACAGTGTAGATTCATTCCCATCATTATTTTCATGAAATAGGGAGAACTCCCTACACACTAAATCAAGACAAGCTTTGTTAGGTAGGGGTGTTTGGGGATGATTTCCTTATCTGGGTCTTCGTATGCCTCCATGTCCCAACAGACACCTTTCTAAGCAGCAACCAAATTATTAGTACATAACTTATGCTTCATTAGCATTACTCTGCAATTTACCAATATTAAATGTGGATCAGAGTGATTTTCATGTTCCTTCTAGCTAGTATGACCTTAATTATTCTGATATCATTTCCCAATAGTCTGTGTCATGGATTTAAGCCCAGCTGGAGATGAAACACCAAACAGCCACTCACTCAACCCCTCCTCTCTTCCCCCCTCATCCCAGTGGAATCAGGAGGAGAAGTAAAACTTCTATGTTGAGATAGGAATAGATTAATAATTGAAAATAAAGAATACAATAGTAAGGCTAAGTAATAATAACAATGATAATGAAAAGGGGGAAAAAACACCAACTGATGCACAATACAATTGTTCAGCACCTGCTGACCGATGTCAGACGTCTCTTCCTGAAGCCAAACCCTATCCCCATTTTCAGGTAACGCCCTCCTGTTTATATACCAGACATGACATTATGATGTGGGATATTCCTTTGGTCAGTTCGAGTTCCAGATATGCTCCCACCCTGTTTGGTTTTTTTGCATTCAGAGCATGAGACAGGGAAAAAAATGTCCTTGACTTAGAATAAACTGGACTTAGCAAAAAACCAAAACACCAGCGTGTTATCAACACCATTCTCATTGTGAATCCAAAACATAGCACTGTAACAGCTACTGAGAAGAAATTAACTCTACCCTAGCTGGAACCAGGACACACTGTTATACTGGAGATGATTTGCTCTTCATGTCTTCAACTTCATGTCCAAGTCTTCACTTTTCCACCAATTTACTGCATTTATTTTCAGCAAACTTTGTCCTATTGTCAAATATTGCAGCATCTGGAAAATAGGAAATATATGGCAAAAGAAAATTTGCTAAGCATGATGACTTATTTAGTTGTAAGAGTATCTGGTGAGTTTATCACAAGGAAATAAATACAATATCACAAAAAGTAACTTATTTGTGGTCTTTTTTCTCTTCAGTGCAAGAAAAAAAATTCTCTGTATACCATATTGCTGGTAACATTTTTTTTTCCTTTAGCAGAAAACATGAGGTATATTGTTCAATTTAACATGTATTCTTGGCTTTTGTGAAAGTCTGAAGAATTTTTGCAATGTCATAATTATCTAGGTGCTAATATAATTCTGTTCTCTCAATTAGATTTTCCAATGCCAAGTTTTCTTGTCAGATTTGTAGGTAGCTAGTGTAGTTCTGAACGTTCCAGTGGCCTTTTGTTAACTCCTTACAATCACCTATTTTCTCTAGGGCTCATGTTCCCTTTAAAAGTCATGCCCTGTAACAGGAAAAAAATGGTGTGCAACTATTTACAGCTCATCCTTCTGGTGAAATCTGGTGAGATTTGAGTGAATCTCAACAAAATAGAAGTTCTTGTTGCCACATGTTCCCATCTTTGGAGTTAGCATGTTTGTTCCTTTCACGTTCCAGTATCACCCAGTGCTCAGTCAGTGGAGATCAGCTTTCTCTGGTGAGGCTAGAGAAACAACCTTTCCAAGTAGGGGAGGGAGCTACTACTAAATAAAGAGAAAAAAAAAAAAAAAACTATACAAAAATACAAAATTAATTAGTATTTACCTGAAATAATTAACTTGAATGCACCATTGTCAGCACAGAAAATAGTTCATGTTATCTAAATGAAACACTTAATGTAGCTGATCTATAGAGTTTCTGGAGTTGTTAATGTTGCTAGCTGGTGAATTTAGCTCTCAACAACTGGTAGTGGTGAGACACCCTTCACTTCAGCACTAAGGATACTGAAGAGGAGGGGAATTGTGGAACTTAATGGTGGAGTAAGAATCACAGATGAACGAGTCTTGAGGTGATGCTGCTGGATACTTAAAAGAATTCCTTATGGACATGTCTCTAAAGTACAGACTGCTCCACACTCCAGCCTTACTGGTGACACACACAGGGAACAGTGCCTACCATTACTGTATTTTCATATTCAGTGGGAGAACCCAAATGCACATGGCTGGTCTCCCCTGATTAGCAAGCACCAAAAGTTTGATAATGACTCTGTGTGTTTCAGGTAGGTCCAGAGACCACAGAGTGGCAGCAACATTTGGGTACAGTGAAGAATCATTCACCTGCCTACCCACATACCAACCAAGTACTGCTACTGCATCATCTCTAAAGTCTGAGAGCTAGATTTCATAGCAAATACAGATATCTAACACCTGATCTCATTTTCTCTATTATAACAGATTCCAACAGCAACCACTCTTGTAAGCTTTAATTCTTGTTCTTCTAGAATTGCAGCATGGTGGTCCTCCATTTTAGGCACCTGTGGAAGTAAGTATTATAGACTACACTGACACAGTGCAGAAAATTTTACCACACTGTAGAGACAAGTGCCTTTAACATTGTTATTTTATGTCATTAAAGACTATGAACCAAGAAGAAAAAAAAACAGTCATCTTCCTTTCACTAATTGTCTCATGAGCAGAAATCTTGTAATGCAAGACTACAAAGACTCTTGTAAATATTAGTCATTTTTGATACAAGATTAAACTTTAATAAAAGGAGTGTAAGATCTCTCAGATATTCCTTTTTCATATGGTAAGTAAACTCATAGTAGATGTATTCCTTCAGTCCTAACTACAATATCCTATTATACTAATAATATCACTGCTAGTAACATAGAAGATACTATTAATACATTGTTATTGTGTCACGCATCATCATTCATGTGCAAATCAATTTGCTTGAGTCCAGTAAAAAAACATTTACGATTGAAACATCAGTAATTTAATGAGGAACATATACACAAGATCTTTCTCCCAAAAATCAATGTCTAATTTGTTTGTGGAAAGAGCAGAAGGTGATTAACTGAAGACATATACTTGAAAATAAATTGCTCTAGCTTAGGATAAAGATATCTTTCCTTTTCTTGTAGGCTCTATTTTAAATTTCTTTTATCTGACATACGTTCTTGAGGGAGAATTCTGTCCACTTGTATACACTAGTTTGAATCCATGACAATGCTTTCATTTGGGACAGGGAGGCTTAGGTGAATTAGAAAAGAGTATTTGAAAGGGGTCCCCTCTCCCACTCACTATACCTCCCTGCTTCTTCACTCTAACTTCAAGTTTCAGGCTACTCACCCAAAACTAGTTTCAGGGAAGTTTACATCTTGCCAAGCACTGCTTTAATTCTCTGTCAGCCAAGACAACCTTTTTTGAAGTCACAACTTACCAATGAAGCATGACAGCATGTGGGAGCATGACACTGTAGACTACCAGGAGACACTGTGGAAAAATAGGAGGAAATTTTTTTAATGAAAACTACTTGGTCCTGTGGACCTGACATCCACACCAGACATGGTTAGGGTTTGTCTGTTTATTCATTTCAGACTTTTCCTCACTAACAGAACACCCATCTATGTCTGGAGAACATTGAATGGTTCCTGGAGCACTTCTGTCCATATTTCACCCAAGAGGAATCCATTTCACTCACTTTGAGACTGCTCCAGGATGCAAAGCAAAGTACAGTAGGTAGGAATAGTCAGCAGATTGATCTAAAAAGAACACAGCAATATGCATTGGCACACTGACATCAGCTCAGTCCTTGAACATCAAGCTCCCTCCTACTCAGATGCTTCTGACCAGTGACTTTTGATTTTGATTAAATCCAGACCTTAATATTAGATTTCTTTTCAGCCAGGCATTGTCTTTTTACATGTATATTTTTATAACCATTCAAGCTACAAAGGAGTCCGTTCTGAGTTGGATCTCTTGAGTGCTGCCACACGATAAATACTAGGTAGCAAAAGCAAACGTGTAGCTGTTTCACACCAGAGACCCTTTTCCAAAACGGAAATTTAAGTTAAATCACTTGCACTCAATGCTGATTCATGGCAGTGTAAGGGTACTTACACCATTTTCATTGTAAATACATCTTTCAACAGAACATTATGTTTGCATAACTCAAGGTAATATGTCCCTATATTGATAGTCTACCTATGCAGTCAACTCAGTCTCTCTCTGCAGAAACAGGATCCTTGCAGTCATTCCTTCCAACACAGCAAGGCCTGGGCTGTTCAAATCAGTTATACAGCTCAGTTATCAGAAGCTTCTAGGTCACTTTGGACATATTTAAGCAGTAAAGCTTGTGGAAACAATGGAATTTATAGTGTGGCAATATTATAGCAACACAGCTTAGCTACTGTAGCATTCAGTATTTTGGTAGGCTAAAATCAAAACTTGATTTAGAATATCAGATGTAACAAAGAATAAGTCAGCAAATGTTTCTTGGCTGATATGATGGCTTTAAGAAAAGACTAGAAAAAGAAAGAAACAGGTTCATGTCACAGAACAGCTGGTATTTGTAGTAGCTATTTTGGGTGAAAAAAAATTTAGGACTCAGTTTATTTGCCCCTAGCTTGTGTCCAAGTATAGTATACACATGCTCGCTGCAATGCCAGACACCTTTCATAGACCAGATGGGATTCCCTGCGGCACCTCCAATAAATACTTGATGCAGGCACAGTTGAACTTAGCTCCAAGAGTGAGAGCCCTTTCAGACAGAGATCCTGAATGTGGATATCTAAAAGTCACTTAACTTTACACCAAAAAAACCAGGGACTTGATTCAATAGTCTGAATGGAGAGCAGACACAGACAATTACTTGATAAAAATTCATGTTAATGCTTATTCATCTAATCTCCCTGGCTCACTATTTGGAGTTTAGTTATATCAGTATTTTGCTCTAAAAATGCAGAGGACATAGAAGGAAAGCAACTCTGTGCAGGATGCAAGCCTGTGAGCCTGCAACATTATATTACCCAGTTAGATAATATAGAGGATAGATAGTTCAAAATGGTAAGAGGTTCTGGTTCGGGGTTTTGTTTTTTTGAGGTTTGTTTTGTTTTTGTGATTTTTTTTTTTTTTATTAAGTGCAAAAATAATTAGGGAAGGTACTAACCAGTATACCATATGCTCCATGTCATGTGGAGCTGTTGGCAGCTGTAAGCCTTTTAACATGTAACTTACCTACGGATTTTACGTTTGAAGGCTTACAGAAAGAGGTGATGTTTAGATTGCAGAAGCGGTAATCTACAGAACAGCGGCTTGTTTAGATACGTATCCTTAAATTCCCCTTGGATTGCAGCGTCCCCTGGCTGCGAACTTCCCGCGCGTTCCCCGGCCCGGGGGAGGAGCTGCTCTGCAGTTCCGTCAGTCACCGCTGCGCGGCGCCCGCTCACCGCGGCTGGGAGCGGCCGCAGGGAGGAAAACTGCAAACGTCTCGGAGAAACCGAAACAGAAATAAACCGGCTCTCTAAATCGGCATCACATTCATGCAACGGGTGCTTCAAATTTAAAGTCATCCTCTCCCACTCTCCCCGACCTTGCGATAATCCAAACTAATAGAAAACAATGAGCCGGAACTCTTTCCAAATAAAATGATTTTCAGACCTGAATTCTAGCTCTGTGTTTATTCCACAAACACTACTAAGCTTCATTTTCCAGGAAGAATTGCTAACACTGGATTAACTGGTCTTAAAAGTTACTTTGTGTGTTGGATTCATCTGTGTTGCAGTAAAAATATTCATTCTGCCTAGGACAGATATACATATATAAAGAGAGAAATCCCGAGCATCTTAGGGCTGAATTGAATTATCTGCAGCATTAGAAGAGATGTGTTAATTAAGATAAAACTCAGAACTCACACACCTATATGTACATAAACAGAGACCAAAAAAAGCGATTATTACTTTCCCTTCTGAAAGCTCAAAGAGCTCCATAGAGAAGGAGAATAAATTTAGATTGCAGACAAACCCAAGTTAAAAGTATTAAATGCTTCTTCATCTCTCCTAGCTCAAACAGCCACTATGTTAAGTCTACTAATCATCTACCTCTCTCTTGCATGACTGCAACAACATCCTTCAGCTGAATCTTTTTAGAACAAACAAAAGAAAACACAGATCCTCAGCCTGGGAGTTGCAGGTGCACAGGTGGCTGCTGTTGCTGGAGTTCTCTGTGGGCACCAAGAACTATTTCAACAGTGTTCTACCTGCTGACACAAGTGTCAATACTACCTTCTACAGCACACATACAACCATAAAAAAAGGTATGATCTCAGGAGGAGCATACTGCTTTTCAAATTATCCCAAGAAATATTCACTTTCAGCCAGGCATCACAAGGACCCTGTCAACCCAGTTGCCAGGTACAAGCACAACATTATTGGTTAACTCTGCCCCTGAGCAGGCCTTCTAAGTTATGGTCAAAATCAAGCTGCAGACCCTAGGTGGGCCCTCTCTGTAAACTATTCTGTAAGATAAATAGCACTGACATATTAGGTTAATGTGCCCAGTTTGGCAATAAATGTAATTTCACCTGAGTTAACTTCTTGTAGTACCATGAATTTTACAAAGTCTCTCATAGAGTAGTGAATGACTTTGAATGGCAGTGTCCTCTCTCTTTCACACTTGAGGGTTTTCATCAAAGATAGTCTCATGTTCTTCACAGACACCCATTTCCTTAAAATATGTATCCTTGCATTCCCTCATAACACTTTACTGACAAAGTCTTGGGGTTTTGATGTGATATTAAACATTATGATTGACTTAATTCCTCTACCTTTTTGGATACCTGAGTTTAGCTCTTAACTTCTGAGAAAGCAAACTGAAGTTAACTGATTTGAAATCAGCTACCTAAAACTGAGAACTAAACTTTTGTTTAGTTTTTATTTGTTTGGTTTTTTGGGGGTTTTTTTTTTTTTTTTTTTTTTTTTTTTTTTTTTTGTTGTGGTGGGTTTGGGGTTTTTTTTGGCAGTGAGTTAAGGGAGTTTATTAAATTTAGCATTATTTTCATTACACAATCTATGTTGGAATTTTATCTTAATCTTACTTTAATGAGTTCAGAGTCACTTTTATGAACTATTTACTCACCTCCTTTGGATTTTTATGTAACTGCAATCAGGAGTCCCTCTCTGCTGAAAGCAAGATGAACCTTTTGCCTTTGCACTAAAAACATGACTTCAGTTTATGCCGAGAAGAAAACACCATAGATGAAATCAAAAATTCACTGGGCTCACTTGCTAAATACATACAGAGAGTACAAATGTGTTGTCATATGTACACACAGGTGGCTTAAGTAAAAGACAAGAAAGAGCACAGATGAAATACAAGGAAAGTACCTAGACTAATATTAGCATATATCACTTGCATTTGCATCTAATGTCTAAATGGAGAAAGTAAACCTCATGTTTAATACAGTACCAGTTTCTCCCTTCTTATTCTTCTTTGAAGATCCACTTGCAGTGTCACATCATTTCCAGAAAAAGCTATTGGAACAAACAGCTTGGCTGCAGTGTGAGTATGTCATCATCTGACCCAGCACTGTATAAGACTGGGGAGCAAGCCGCCTCCACCACACAGGCAGAGCCCTGCACTCCTGTGCACACCTGGCTGCACCACCTGCCTGGGCCTGGGGACAGGGCAGGAGGCTGCGAGAGGTGGCAGGACCAGTCAAGTGCTGGGCTAGGTATTTCCACAGATCAATGAGTCAGCCAGTGTCCGTGCAAAGACAGCCGAACCTGGAGAGATAAAGAATGATAACATCAGTGAAGGCTGCAGTTGCCAAAATGGGATCGTTTTGCTCTGCACCACACCCTCCCTGGCCACAGATTACTTTTTCTTCAGCTGTGTTACCCCTGCTCTGGGAAACTGATCCAGCTACACTTTTTTTCCCTGAGGCTGCTTCCACTCACATCAGTTTCTGTATCTGGCATATCAAATGTCTGTGCTAACACAAAGTGAGAACAGCTTTCCCAAGATGGGGCTTAGATTGATTTAAGTAACTCTGGGAAACTGCTCATTGTGGGGTAGGAAGGGACACACAGAAAGGAAAAGCAGAAAAAAGATAATTTTGCTAATAAAAAGAAACTCAAACTCAAATATTTTTCATCAAAATGTCTAATAATTCTGCACAAAGGATGCACCAGTTTACGTCCTATTTTGGATGTGTGAAACTTGTCATCTGAGAAGTAATTTCTTCTTAAAATAGACCTATTTCTATTCAATTATACCCTCATATTTTAGGATTGAAAACTTATTATTAGACTCTCCAACATTAGGATGATGACTGTAAGAAGTACATTGTTTGAAGGCAGAAGCTTTTTGTCAGGCTTGTGAATGAATCTGCTAATAAATATTACTTTGAAACATAACTACAGCATTTTTAAAACCTGCATGTGACAGTTTTGCAGCTGCAAACATTCCCAGCTTCCAAGTATACATCGCAAGCTGTGCACACAGAGATGTATAATGTACTGAAGGCACTTGAAATTTGGCTGATGTTATTCCACAGGAAAAAAAAAAAAAAAAAATTCTTGAATAAATCCTAGAAATACCAATAAGGAAAAAAAAAAAAATAAGAAACGTAAAAAGCTCACCTAATTTTCTCAAAACATTTTTTTTATCTTCCCATTAAAATAGGCTATATTTTTTCTATACCTAAAATAGGCTATAAGTCAACTGATACAAGTACATGGTGTTTCATATTATACAATGAATCTGTTGAGATAATAAGTACCAGCTGGATCTATCCCCAACAGCAATAACAGTATGTAAAGCATGATTATAATGTAACAGATTGTGAAACAGAAGAGACGGTTTCACTTATTAAAAGGCCCTTATGTTAATTCAGTAACAGAAGAGAGTTCTGCTAGTACACAATGCTTCTAGCAAGACCTTTATGGTAATACAGTAAATTACTTAAAAGGTGAATTCTCCAAAAATATTGCCCATTAATATTTTAGGAGCTTTATTACACATGCACTTATATGCAAATATGGGCCCACTGCTGAATGAAGCAGAGTCCTTGGTGATAGAGGACATTGAAAAAGGCTGATGTACCAAATGCTGCCTTCACCGCAGCCTATTCAAGCAAGTCTGGCCTTCGGGACCCCCAGCTGCCAGACATCATGGGGAAAATCTGTAGCAAGGAAGCTGTGTCCTTGGTAGGAGGTGATGAAGTCAAGAACTACTTGGCCAACCTGGATTTACCCAAGTCTATGGGTCCTGATGTCCTACAAGTCCATGACAACCTGTAAGTGCTGAGAGAGCAGGTAGTTATCATCACAATGCCACTTTTGATATTCTTTGATCATTGGCAATTAGGAGAAATACTCAAGGACTGATGAAAAGTAAATATCCCTCCTGTCTCCAAGAATGAGGACTCCAGGTCCAATCAGCCTCACCTCAGTCCCTGGCAATATGATGGAGTAACAATTCCCAGAAACTGTTTCCAGTCATATCAAAGACAAGAGTTTTAAAGGAGTCATCAGCATCACTCAGAGGAAGTAATGCTCAATACCAAGGAGAAAAACTTCTAAAATGACTGGTCAAATAGATGGAAGGAGAGAAATAGATATTGTTTACCTGGACAACAATAAAGTTTTTGACATTGTCTCATACAAGAACCTCGTAGAGAAAACTGAACAAGCAATGAGATGGAGTGGAAACAGGCTGAATATCCTGGCCCAGGGAATGGAAATTGATTGAAATCTAGCTGAAGAGCAATAAATAAGCAGTATGTCTTTTAGGTCAACACTCCTGTACAACATTTTCAATAATGGTTTGGATGATGGGGCAGAGTGGACCCTCAGCAGGTTTGCTGGTGACGCTGAGCTGAGAGGTGTGGAGGATACGGTGGAGGCTTGCACTGCCATCCAGAAGGACTCGGACAGTCTGGAGAAATGGGCTGCCAGGATCCTCATAAAGTTCAATAAGGGTAAGTGCAAAGTCCTGGGTCTGGGGAAGAACAACTCTATGCACCATTGTATGTTGATGGTTACTCAGGTGAGAAGCAGCTTTGAGGAAGAGGACCTGGGGGACCCCGTGGACACCAAGCTGACCATGAACCAGCAATGTGCACTTGCAGTAAAGGATAGAGGATTCCTGGACTGCATTAGGTGTGTTGACAGCAGGTTGAGGCAGTTGGTTCTTCCCCTCTTCTCAGCACTTGTGAAGTAATGCCTGGACTACTGCATCCCCAGTGCAAGAGAGACATGACACGTTAGAGAAACTCCAGTGATGTATCACTAAGATAATTAAGGGAATGGCACATTTTTACTCTTAGGAAGGGTTGAGAGTGGCTGTTTTTTCTATGATTCTATGTTTGGCCTGGACAAGAGAGGTTTCAAGGTGGATCACATATATGTGCACATATATGGAGGGAGGGTGTAAAGGTGACAAAACCAGGCAATTTTCAGTGACGCCCAGTGAGAAAACCAGAGACAATGGGCACAAACTGGAACAAAAGAGACCCTCTAAACACAAAGAAGTACTTTTTTACTGCAGGGGTTAATGAGCACCAGCAGAGGTTGCATAGAGAGATATAGTCTTCCTTGTGGAGATATTCAAAAGCCATCTGGCCATGGCCCTGGGCAACTGGCTGTAGGTGATCATGTTTGAACAGGTGAGTTTAAGCAGATGACCTCCAGAAGTCCCTTCCAACCTCAGCCTGTTATCGTGTCAAAACTTACACATGCTATGACTTGCAAATGTTACATGCTTTTAGCAGGCAAGAACATGTACGCAGGCACAGCTAAACATCAAGCACAAGGAGTTGGCAAGCAGAGACACAGAAAGCCATTCCAAATGTCAAGTAGCTTAAAGGCAGAACTGTGTTCAGTGATGAGTAAAAATGAAAACACTTTACATTATTTGAAAAGGAAAATTTTTGCTTCAATCTTTTATGAACTGTTTGTTTCTTCTTTAGGCTTTCCAAAAACCATTCTGCTGAGCAGCATTTACCTTGATTTTGAGATCTTTAGAGCTATTCTAGTTTATGACAGATTTTGAAGTTTACCACAGCTCTTGTTACCTTCCAGAGCGAAGATTTTTTGTCTTGCTATTGGCAACTCCTAATACATCACTGTTCCTATGTGTCTTCCACTACTAAAGTATATTTGCAAATTTCGTTTTTTTCATCTAAAGGCAATGACCAAGTAGTCAAGTGGAACATCAGTTTGGAAGCAAAGCTAGTGGGAATAATTGGCCTGTTTGCCAAGTGTCTGCATGCTAGTCCCCATCCAAGATGGCCTGCTGAGCGCCAAGAAAATTCAGTCACACACTTGTTGCTGATAGTTCAAGTTGAAAAGAGCCACCTGCTGTCAGCTTGCATGATGTTGTTTTTCTAAACAAGGCTCACAGCATTTGGTGCATGTTTTTTCCAAAAAAAACTCCAGTGCCCAGATTTTTGCTTCCCATTACTGATATTATAATGAAGCAGCTTGAAACAGGCTTCTTAATAGCATGTTTTGCAGAAGGCAACTGCTTCCCCAAGGATTTAGTAATTTTTGAAGAAAATCCATAAATGTTGATCATTTTAATGATTTGTTTAAGATATAATGTCTATTCTTGAATAAGCAAAATTTACTACACTATATTGTACTCATATACAACTCTCATCTCTTTGAAATGTGACGGCACACCTGGGATTAATTTCAGTATTCTGTTGATGTATAGGAAATTGCATGGAAAAGCTTATTTGGCTTGAAATATCAGAAAAACTATGCAGGAGGCAAGACTTAAAAAAAAAAAAAAAAGTATTTTCTTTCTGTCATGGTTTGAGCCTGGCACAGAGCCAGTGCCCCCCATGAAAATGCCTCACCCTGGTGTCTGCTGTGAGATGTGACCAGGAATAAGCAAAACAGGCTCTAACTTAAACATAAAGAACACTTTATTACTTAAACTACAGGAAAAGAAAAAAAGAAATTGAAAACCTTACAAAAAAAACTTTCCTCCTCCCCACTCCCTGACTTTCCCAATCCGATACATTCTCCTAAAACACCAACTGCCCAGCCCGGCACGACACTTTAGTATACTCAAACTGCAGTTCATGAAGAGGAAAGGAGTCCTTCTTGTTCCATAGGCTTCTCCTGGAAACACACTGAAACCTCGTGTGCTTCCTTGTCACTTCGGCACCGCCTGGAAAAAAAAGTCCTTTTGCCGCTTGTGACATCTTCCTTCCATGCCCAGTGCTCTCACCACTGAGACATGGCCAGAGCTGCTTTTAGGGTTGTCTTTCAAGGATGCCTTGTCTCACTCCAAAAAGGCACAGTCTCTGCTTTGGGACATCTGTCCCCCCCATATTTTTCCAACCCCCTGGGGCCGGGGGGTCCTCACGAATGAACCTTCCTGGTTTTGAGGCACTGCCTCCCCCTAAATGCAGTCTGTGTCACAGGAACAACCGAGTCTATGGCCACAAGAAAAGTCCAGCCAAAAGGCCACTCCAAATCATCTCTCCCCATCCAATCATCTCCATGTTCTTCGGGCCAGGTCCTTGTCTCATCTCATCTCTTATCTCCCTTCTTATTCAGCTTCGAGGAGGATTAGCATTTTTGCAAGGCCCCAGTCATGAAAGAAAGGGTTAAAAGCTTTCAGTCTTTGTCTGTCCTGGGACGAGATGATACTCCCACACGTGCTGCTGCTGCGGCCGGCCGGGCTGCACCCTTTTCCCCCCCCCTTTCTCTTCCTGGGCCGGCTGCTATCACCGCCGACTCTCCCTCTCTCTCCCTCCTGGGGGGGGCGGGCTGGCTGCCCGATGTCTCGATGTCTCTTGGGGCTCCTCCACCCTTCCATCCTTGAAAGCCCCTCACCTCCCATCTCTGTCCAGGCCCCGGGCCTACCGCATGGCTGGCCCTCCCCCGCCCAGCAGCAAGGCTGGACGGGGGAGAGATCTGACTTCTTCACAGCGACGTCCTAAGAAAGAGCGTGCCAAGGGCAGTGCCCTGCTTTTAACCCCTGTGTATTCTCGGAGGTGTGTCCAAACCCCACTGGCTACACCGGGTGCCAGTCTCAAACCCAAAACCTTCATTGGTTTGACCACAGCTTCCCAGAATTCCCACTCCTTCCTGGTCAAACCACCACACTTTCTCACTTTGCAGTTGCTGTCTCATTTTTAGGTTGTCTTTTGATACTGGGGCGGAACAGCACCTAACATAGACACCTACTGTAACCAAAAAGTTCTAACATTCAAACAATCAGAAGTGGCATCCATGAACTTATACTGGAAAGTTAATATAATTGAAATAAGTTTACAGAGACAAATATTTCATTCCAGAAAAGAGACCTCAGCTCTAGAGATTACTTATTGGCTAGTGACAATGTTTTCCTGTGATAAAAGCATATTTTTGATGCAATAAGGTTTGGACACATACACAGAGGTTCCTGGAAGTACTGAAAAGAATTATTTCATTCACTCACCTCACATCACAGGTTTCATCTTCCGAGTAACAATCTCTAAATGTAAACAGGATACGTGTGCTCCCAGAACTTGGGCTTGAAGCACACTTCTCAAAATGGAGTAATAAAGACATCGAAGCTGTGTTATTTGTAATAGTTTAAGTAGGATTAGACAGGTAAGAACATCACATTCTCAACTCTTCCATTCTCCTTGGACACATGCTAACCATTGCCAGGAACTCAGGGCTGCCTCATGACCAAAGAGGCCAAAAAAAGAGAAGAGAGACAAAAAACCCTCCTGCAATTTCAGCATATCTGAAGTTTACTCTACAGTAAACACAGCTCTTTAATACACAAGTAGTTACCATGTGTGGATACCATACAATTTTCTAAAATTCAGCTATTTTTTTAAGAGTCTCTTAAGAGTCTCTTCTTAATTTTCTTTACAAAACTGTTACTTTAAATTGAAGAATTGTGCAGCACTATCTTCAGGCAAAATACCTCCTCCATAACTAAGTAATCATGTTAGGATTTTTTAGGCTGAGACATGCAGCACTGTAACTAACAGAGAAACCCAAATAAACTTCAGGCCTTCCCAGAAGAAATGCAGTTCTGCAGAGCCAGCACAGGAGGTCTCCAGCACACACTGACACTCATCCCTCAGCCTTTCCTCATGCATAAAGAGGAATAATACATAATGCATTTACACAGAATGCTCATAAAGCATTTCCAGGTTAGCTTACCTCTCCCTGGAACAGCTCAGCCCACATAAGTGGTGTGAAGCACTTAGGTTGCAGATCTTGCAGAACACACAAAACAGACGTGGGAGGGATTGCTCCCCATCAGTTGCAGGCACACCCTCAGAGCAGTCCAGTTCTCATTGCTGGAGTTCCAGCAACTATGGCCCTTCCTCTTCATCCTGTCTTCCTCTTCATCCTGCCTTTCCCTTCCCTCATTTCTGCTCTGACTATATGCAATTATACCATCTACCTGTAATATTCACATCCTTTTGGAGCATATTGCAATACTTGGGCACAAACTGGTATCAGGAATATCAGGAGCACAGCCTTGATTTCCCTATTTCTCTCTGTCACTTTTTTAAACATAATATCTCAATGCCTTTTTAACCCATCCATATTATTCTCCAGATGTTTTCTAGGTGTCTTAAGAAGGTAGCAGATATTTTCGGTACAGATAAGAACCTGATATTTTGTCAACATGTGGATTATCATAGGTCAGTTTGGGTTGAAAGGGACCTTTAAAAATCTTCTAGTCCACCCCTCCCCTGTAGTGAGCAGGGATATTTTCAACCAGATCATGTTACTCAGAACTCTGTTCAACCTGACCTTGCATGTTCCCACAAATGGGGCATCTTACCACCTCTCTGGGCAGGTCTTAAATGTTCCAGTGTTCCACCACCCTCATTGTGGGGGACATTTCTTCCTTATATCTAGTCTGAATCTATCCTTTTTAGTCTAAAATCATTACTCCTTTGCTGGGATTGAGAGACACAGACCATACTATGCAAGCAAAGCCAGTTTATTACACTAATCACCAGTATTTATAGTTCTCTAAATTCCATGCAAAATTTGCTACTCAGACCCCTTTGCCCCTGTTAACATAGCAACAAAATCTTTTTGTTTATCAAGTCCCTGTTATTTCTTTTGTGCCAGCAATGCCCTTGTTCCATCTTCTCTCATCAGAGTGACCAGACATGATGTCTTCACTTTTGTTCTTGCCTTGAGTTTATCTCTCCCACAGTTTACACTGTACCAGGGCCAAGAGGTCAGCAGCACTACCCAGCTCAGCTTCTGTAGCTGTCTCATCTTCCACACTCCTTCACTGCTACCACTACAAGTCCTGTTAAATTTTGTCCTGGTTTAGGGCAAATTTGTTAAAGAATCTGCAAAGGAGAGCCCCTCCAGAAAGTGAAACCCACACGGCCCCTCCCCCCAACCGGTTTGGGAAAAAATTCCTTGGAGAGAGGTGGAAAGAACCTGTTTATTTGACTGGCCCCGCACCCCCCAGCACACAAAATGAACAATACCTGATGACACCGCTCTGAGAAAGATGACAAAATCAGAAAGTCTCTTTCGGGGGTGGTTGCTCTGTTCTCAGTCCCTCCGGCGCTGGGCCAGCTGCTGCAGCCGAACCTTCGGTGTTCCCAGGTCCCAGTCTGAAGCAGGTTCAAAATGATCACAGAAACAGGAGAGGAGAAACAGTCCAGGAAGCAATGTGGACTGTTTAGCTAATAAGCAGAGGCAAAAACAGAGCAGCAGCAAGAGCAGAAAAAGAGAGCAAGCAAAAGCAGCAAGCAAGCCAGAAGTGAAAAAACAGCCTTATGTACTGCTTGTCTCTGTGTCCCTGATCAGAGAAACCCAAACAAAACTTCCACTCTTCAGAGTCGGTCTTAAAGGCACAGAACAGGTGAATGGGGATACAAGAATCATAACGTCACCCCAGGACAATTTTCAGCCCTGAAAGGCCACAGCAAGGTCCCCCCAGAGTCTTCTCCAGGTTGAACAACTCCAATTCCTTCAGTCTTTGATCACAGCAGAGGTGTCCTATGCTTATTATTATTTTTTGTGGCCCTCCTCTGGACCTGCTCCAATACGTCCATGTATTTCCTGTGCTGAGGGCTCCAAAGCTGAAGCCAGAACTGCACCAGAGTGGAGTATAGGAACAGAATCATTTGATGTGGCCACTAGGTGGGTCAGGCAGGACTTGCCTTTGTTGAAGCCATGGGGGCTGTCTCAAATCACGTCCCTGTCCTCTACGTGCCTTAATACAGCTTGCAGGAGCATCTATTCCATGGCATTGTTGAGTAAATCAGCCTTCCCCTTGTCATCCATTTGCCAGCTTTGCTCATCATGGGCAGGACACTTTCCTTGATCTTCCTTTTCTGGCTGGCTGCCTCTATATGGCTCATCTTTGTAGAGCTTCAGGTGCTTCAGTGTAGCCAGCAGATCTCAGAGCAACAGGCTGAGGGCTCTCACCAGCACCCTGTCCTTCTAACCTTGGTGTGTCATCCCACAGCTTGTCACATGCAGTCCTGCTATTATCCCTCTCCCTTGCCAAGTCTAGCTTAAAGCTCTGTCACTGAGCGCCACCAGCTCATGAGGAAAGACCTCCCTTCCCCCTTTGAGAAATGGGAATCCCATCTGACACCAGGATGTCTGGTGCTGTGTAGGCCATCCCATTATTGAAAAATCCAAAACTGTTAGTAGCACCAGTCACAGAGCATGTTTTAACGGTATGGTCCCATTTGTTTCATCCCATGTAGCTGCCTGGAACTGGAAAGACAGAGGAAAGAAGCACCTGTCCTCCAGATTCCACTACCAACCATGCCAAGGGCCCTGAAATCTCTTTTGGTTGCACTTGGACTACACATTGCAGCTCCATCACCACTCACACAGAGCAACGATAACAGGTAGCAGTCCAAGGTTGGGAAGGTTCCTGGTGATGTCCTTAACCTGGATCCCAGGGGAATAGGCCCTGGCAACAGCTGCACTGTACACTGCAGTCAAAGAAGACCATAAACATGCCAAGCACACTGTGCTTGCCTCAAGCCCTGTTTGCCCCAGCCCCCTACCCGTCTGTAAATATGTGTAGATGGCTTATGACTTACCACACCTGAGATGAAAGGGAGACCCAAAACCAGCTCAAAGTAATGATCAGCTGGCAGAATCAGCCTGTCAACTTAAAAATATAATTTATCATTATGAATACAGGCAATTTGATTTTAAATAACAAGATTCCACAACTGGTTTTTTTGGGTATTAATTCTTATGACATAATTTTAAGTAGTCATTTTCTCATTTTATTTTGTGCCTTATTTTCTGAATTGTATTTTGTTCTTCATATTAGTTTGAATTAAATTTATCACTTGTCATAAATTTAAATTTATGACAAGAAATGAGACATGTAAACTAAAAAATCTAATCTCACCTGACTGCTGTTTCTAGCACTAATGGATAGCGAAAAATTGTTCTCATCCTGTCTTGCAAAACCTACTGCTTTCAAGCCTTTATTTGTGTGTATTACACATGTTTTGCATGCTTTTTATTTGGCCAGAATGGGAGTATACCTAAAGATTACTGAGTGAAGGCCAGATTAGCATGATGTCTGTTCTGTGGTTTGGAAGAATGCCCTTCCTTGTACATTTTTCTCCTTGGAATGAAATATGCCATTTTCTAACAAAAAGCTGGAAGAGCTAAGTTCTTTTTGGGTTTTTTTTTTGTGCTGGGCAAAAGTTGGGGATTGAAGTTAGCATTCCACTTGTTCAAATTCTCCAGACCATTATACTAATATCAGTCTTAGCCAATTTATCACTATTTTTCTTTCTTCAGTATGTATGAAGTGGTCAATAACTTTAACGGAACTCTCATGTTTGAAAAATCCAATTTATTCTAATAAGAATAAATGCTATGTCATCAACATGCAGTATTCTGCAAGTACATATTTTTAGCAGTTTTGTGAAAGGTATTGATTGGGTACATCTGGCCAATTCCATGTTTCTAAAATCCCAGCACATTTCATTTATAAAATAATATTTCAGAAAAAAGGTGACCTTCACAGAGCAAGCAGTGTATTTTAAGCTATTTAAGTGTGCATCTATAATTCAAGAAATCTGCAGAGAACTGGGCTTTTTTTTTTTGCCTTTGTTTTTTGTAACCTTGGTAATGCAGAGCATGCTTTGAGAAAGAAAAAAGCCAAGAATTATGCACTGATATTATTTTATAAATGCACATTGCCTTTCTTACAGGGTCTCCAGTCTAAATTAAGCATACAAATTGGATGTAGTAAATGAAGGTAAACAATGAGGAGGGACTCAAATGAAGGACAGATTGTGCTGGTACAGTGCAGTGAAAGATTATATATGGAACAAATATTGGTATAGGCTAAATTGACAAAGACTGCAAGATATATAGCTGAAGACAGAAGAAAAGCAGTAAAATAATGTATAAAACATTAACTTGCAACCCTGAAACTCCAAACAGCAGCAACAGCAATTTACTTGACTACCCTGGGTGAATAATCAAAAGAACACCACTGATCACTAGCTAAGTCAGCTTCATGCCCTTGTCTCCACAAGGACACAAGGCAGGCAGGGATCCAGCAAGGCACGGGAAGTGGGACAGCCCACAAGAGAGCCTTCAGCCCAGCAGGGCACAGGAGCCTGAACTACTGTCAAGCAGCTCATTTGGATGAAGGGGGGACATGACTGCTTTCAGCAGGTCAGCAATTTGCATTCTTCCCATTTATTCATGTGTGCCTTTCACTTACGCACACTTTCAGAGCATCAGAAATATGAAGAAGCTCCTGCTTCAACCACAATGCCTTTTTGGTGTGACCCACACCAAATGGCAACTGTTTTAAATTTGGGCAGAATCCTCTCAGCTCAGAGCTCCAGGCACACCAGAATGAACTGAGTTGAGATTTCTGTTCTGAATAAATTATGTCTCACTAGAACCATATGATACAGGTCTACATCATAATCAGTGTTAGAACTAAAACACTGGATAATATAGTTGCAATATCAGGGAGCGTGAACAGAGAATTAAGGTAGATTATCCTAATAAAAAGGAGTGTAACTCTTGCTTTTAGAAATCTTGTTTAAAAATCCACAGCATTATTGGTCCTCCACTGTTAGAAATAAGCAAATTTATTCACTTCACAGTATGAAGTGTTGCGAATGCCAACTACATATCCTAGCTAATTGTGCACTTCTTACTTTGTCTTTGCCAATTGGACTAAGGAAGGCCTATCAAGTATCTGCAGCAGAAACAGTTGCAAATCTGGGCTACTCCATATCCCAGCCATAAAAATGCTTCCTTTAGGAACATCCTATCAGGACATACAAGTACACAGTATGAAAGACTGCTTTAAGAAAATAATCAAGAAGTTAACATTGCAGTACCAGCTGCCATGAGAAGAATTAAGAATTTTAACAGTACAAGATGGGACAGGATCAACATTTTCTTTCACAGCCATTTGTCTGATACTGAGATATATCCTCAAGAGAAAATTTCTTCTTGTTGTCCAAAGACACCAACTGCAAATGGAACTATGCCCAAGAAAAGTCCATCTTAAGTGTCAAGGGAAGCTTGTGCATGCAGCATTAGTGCTCTTCAACACAAGGAGAAGAAATTGTTTGTGACACTCAGACTAGCAGGAGATGCAAAGAGGAATAGCATCAGCACATCAGGAGGCAGCAAATACATTCAGCTGCAAAGACTTCTTTAGCAGTATACAGAAGTTGAAAGCGAGAATTCAGCCCAAGCTTTTAAAATTATGAGGACACAATCATCAGGACAACACTGAAACCAAGGACAAGCTTACAAGCATGAAAGAAATAAAGGCTGACGCTGCATAAACATCACTGAATTCCTGATTTCAGTTAAAACACAAATTCAGAAGCCTCAACAACCCCAAAACCTGAAATGAAAAATTCAAACAGCACTTAGGTTAATAAAAAACAAAGCAAAAAATGTACTAAGAGCAAACAATGCAGTGTGACATCCTAGCAGCTTAGAGGTCAGCAAGATTTAAAAAGATGCAGCGTGTGCCACATTTACTTCAGGGAGAACTCATTGCATTCACAATTAAAAACAAACTCTGCAAAACAAAGGCTGAAATTAGAAACTTAAATCAAACACTAGTAGTCGCAAAGACACCATAATAATATCTGCATCAGATCCAGGTGATTTAAACAAACAATCACCTCATACTCTTAGTGATAGTTATAGATTGTATCACTTGTCTGAACAGAGTAACTTGCTCACTGCAAGAGGACTGACATGTTTAAATTAATACTTGTGCACAGTGACTCCCAGATATTCAAATGGGCCCTTAAGGGAGCTTTGCCCACAAGTGACAACATTTCTGTCCCTAGTGCAAAGATAACATGAAGGAAAGTATAACCATAACCTTGAAATACCTGCCAGAAATATCTGGAAAAGTGTAATTAAAATTGGCAATAGTATCTACAGGACACTTACTGACCTCTGCAAGCCTTAGTCCAATCCCCTCCTGGAAAAGTGTGATGTTAACTGCCTAAAGACAGAGGCAGAGACCATCAGAATTT